AGCCCAGGCTGCTCCGGGGTTTATCCAGCCCACCCTCCAAAGACAGAGACCGCACAAGCTCTTTGGGCAACCCGCCCCAACGCTTGACCATCCTCACGGTGACAAAGTTTCTCCTTGTTGCTGCTCTGACTCTCTTGCTTAACCTCAGGCCGCCATCCAGTTTTGCAGCAATATGAGCTGGTGTTTGCTTTAGGATGTGGTCTCCACCCACAGCAGGCATTTTACCCCCCGGCAGGAATTTTCCTCTTCAAAACTAAAGTAATTCCCCCCCCATTTCAGGCTGAGGATGCTGGGTCCAGCAGAGTACCCCACTTCTACCCAGCCTCCCCCTCAAGATCCGTCCTTTAGTAATTTAAATAGCTCAGAGTTCCTCCAACATTAAATGCTCAAGGTGGACACGTGCTCCAGCTCTTCTGGCTGAGCTTCCTCTCAGTGACAGACAAACACAAGCGTCTCCTCGCCATGGCCATGGTCCCATTTACACTGCTGAGGCGGCTGTGGGATGTCCACGGGATTGTATCAGAGAAGGAACTGGTTTAAAAGTAACCAGGGTGGTGGCAGAGGGAAGAGATAGGGAGACATATGCTAAGTCATCATTACTGCCAAGTGAAACAAACTCGGTGATGGATGGCACAACCCTTAAACTCTTGGGTCAAGCTAAGTGCTACGAGATAAATCTCCACCTCAAAAACACGAATCTGCTGGTGCAGACAACAGGACCTGAAAGGAAAGCCAAAGGCATGCCACCTGCCTGCGAGTGGCACGAGAAACCAGAAAGAGGAGAGAAACGCAGGTACTGCTGTTTTCTCTCTCAATCATTGAGCAGGGAGGGTACCCTTCGGGCGGTGAGACTACACAACCAAAGTGTTTGTACAATTACACTGACTGTCCCTTATCTAGGTGTAACTTGTAACTCAGCTGTATGTTATGATCTGCTGCGCAGGGGATACAAAGTCCCTGTTCTTCTGTCTTCGCTGTCACAAAATGGGCCAAATTGAACAATCGGCAGATGTCTGAAACAAATGTACCCGCTCTCGACAGTGTACTGTCTCTCACGCTGGATTTCCCGCCTACCCGAGATATTCTGCAGGCAAGAGTGACCGAAAAATAAAAAGAAAAAAAGACAATTTTACCTGGCTGTTACCAGCTTAACATGTGTGTGCGCACATGTGCGTTTTTAGATCAAGTTAAATCAAATTCCACTGAATCGTGAGGAAAAGTCATAGTTGATCCTCCCACCTCGAAAATTTGGGAAGCGAACCCCGCACACATCACGTCTATCCAGGCGTTATCCCTCTTCAGACCACGACCTTGAGCGGGGCACACCTACACACACCCCAGGCACAGCGACGGCTGGGTGCAGAGCTCTCACACCTCCACCCACCCACCGAGCACCTCCGATCCAAGTCCACTCGAGAGCGTTCACTGGGTGTCTCGAGGTAAAGCATGCTGCGTTGTGTAACGTGCTGACAGCTAATCTTGCGGCACGTACGAGTTGATTAGAAACTTGTATTAAAATTGAAACTCATTTCTTGATTTGCCAGATGACACTGAACACATTCATCTGTTACGCACCTGGCAAGTGACGGCTGTTTGAAGGGTATGGAGTGGCATCCTAATAATTGGAATTTTGTGCTCAACTTCAGAAACAGGAAAGGTGCTATTAAGAGAAGTATGTATGAACAGTTTTGTGCTTCCCTACAGGCCCAAGAGGCAATTTTAAGCAGGTTGGTCACTGAATCAGTCCCTGCGCAAACGGGTCTGAACTTGCCTGCAGAGAGTTTAAGCTTCTGCCTTCGCCACAGTAGACCAGAACTAACACCGCCTACGCCGTGGATCTAACCATGCACGTACTTACTCCCTTTGCAAGTAGTTTGTCAAAGCTACGTACTCCCCTATGAGTTATGTAGATAAGTATCACTTGTCAGATACCCCCCCCCAAAAAATTTGATTCCAGTTTTTTGGGCCTGCAGGGCAGTAAGAATTAACATCAGTGGATCAGCACAGCCACGTCCTCATCTCTACCAGTGCAAAAGAGTTGCAAGGAGACAATTCATCTGAGGAATCCAGAGGAGAGGACGATGCCGTAATTGTATGGTTCATTAAGAGATGTAAGGATTACATTCGGTGCGTTAACAGGAGCTTGTTTTCTAAGCCTTAAAGTGGATAAATATTTTTGTTCCCACTCTTTACTGCTCGCTGCTGCTATTTTTACCTTCCAGAAAGGCTGAAGGTGTGAACAAAGGCAGCAGCAGCAGCCAGCTCAGTGTGAACCGTTCCGCAAGCCACTATATGCGAATGATGTAAATGGAGCGATGCCCACGCTTGGTAGTTCGTGCCGCTGCCAAGCCCTGGAGTTTGTTATCCACCCTATCCCATCAAACTCCCGATAAGCTTATAAAAATATTGGTTTGCAGGTCACTTACCACATCCAGATGTGTCAATCTAGCATAGAAATTGTTCAGAGCCAGGGGAAAAATCAAAGAAAACAAACACAGCATGTTCTTCACAGGTGAAAAATAAGTCCCATTCCTCTTCTAGAACAAACAAGATCAGGTCTTTTTTTTTTTCTCTTAATGACCAAGGCAGTAGGCGAACAAGCAATACCTGAGAATGACATGCTACAATATAACAACGGTCACATCCACACTTCATATGCCTTATGCACAGGCTGCAAAAATCCGAAAAGGAAGAGGAAAAACACTCACAGAAGTCAAGTCATTCTGATTTTATATTCAGTCTTTGCAAATCAAGGATGTCCTATTTTTACTATTCATTCAAGGCAAAAGTCTACACAAGCATGTCAAAAGCAGTAATTGAAAAACAGTAAACACGACAGTCTTGAAAATACGTTTAATGTCTAATCTTATACAAAAGTGACAGCATTTTCAAAAAAATATCAAATCCTGTATTTATAGCTTCTCACTATCATACAGCAATATTTGTTTCATCTAAAGAAAATACAGCAGCAGGTGATAATCTATACTTTAAAGATGTGATTGCTTATATTTCTTATTGTAAACAAATGCAGTATGTCAATCTCAAAGCACAAGTCAAAATGAACTTCTCAGCAATTTAACTCAAATGATGCATAGAAATGTACAAATTCCATTGCAAAAGCTTCAGGCCAGAAGTTGCTCACACTTGACATAACATGTGATAAAGTTACTACACGGTATATAGTGACAACTTGAGTTTTTACACAATAGATTAACAGGTATACCCTTTTCACTGCTATGCAAAGAACTTTGCTCACAAAAACAAAGGGGTTATGAAACAGTTTTCATGACCTCAAGAAATACGAATATACATTGAAGAACATCCCATATATACTGAATTTTAGCCTAAATGTTCCAGTAATAAATCCTGCCTATTTCAGGAAGAACCTAGAAGTCTAGTTACTTTTACAAATCCCCTTTCCAAAAAATCATTACTTGCTACGTTTGCTTTATCCTTTCCTACTTCTTCCCATTGCCTGCAGACATACCGCCAGAGCAATTTCAAACTGGAGTGCTGCTACTGCATGATCCATGCATTTGGAATAAATGTTTTTTCATTACATCGATTTATAATCTAAGGCTGCAGGTATGGAAAAAAAAAAAAAAAGCACTTGAGCAAATGTAGTCGATGTCCTCCCATGTTTATTTTTAATCAGTCTTGCCAAGATCTAAGCCAAATCTGTTGTTTGGTGTCGGGGGGGGCAAGTGGGGCTTGTTTAAGGTTAGTGAAGACTTGCACTTTTGGTTCCTATTTCTAGGGTTAAAGATGTCAGGGTTTAAGCTGAAATACTAAGGATTTTTGTTCAGCTCCAGTATTGTCTTCCTGAAACAAAAAAATACATGTCCCTTTGCTATTAGCTTTCATGACATTAAAACAGCCACAGCTAAGCTGACCGCTTTCTTCTGCAAAAATATTGCAGGACTTTGCCATAAAGGCTAAGAGTAGTGACAAGCATCACCACCAGGTTACCCCATTTGTTTTTAAGAAGTCCATCACATGCATGCAGGAAGCCACGATAAGGTACTGGAAGAGAATTAACTCGCTTTCACAGTTCCATGATACAAAGACTCCCTAATGAGCAATGATGTTAAGCAAAATCTGTTGCTAATTCTACCTACAGAGGCTAAGTTAGGATATCCCCAGCTGGGGATAAAACAAACTGTCCACGGTGAAAATCTAGGCTATGAAGTACCACAAAGAGTGCCAGAACTCCTCACCGACACGTGGCTGTGTGTCTGGGTGACTGCAGCGAACCCCTTGCATGCGCTTTGCACAGATACGGCAGGAATATGAAAACTTACTGCGTTGCCCCTTCAGAGAGGGGGGGAAACAGCTACACAGCAGTGCGCAGGCTGCCAGACATTCAATTCCTCCCAAATTACACTTACTCAGTGAGGTATGCAGACACCTAGCTGAGAACAGAGGACGACTCCTCATTACAATATTCAGCAGAGCCCCAGTGAGACCTCCTCATTTTCAACTGTGGCAATAAGGATCTTTGTAGCCGACAGAACTAAACACTGTGCCAAAAACCGCCGGGAAGGGAATTGTCAGGTTGGGGGTTTTTTTGATCTTTTAAGCTCAAGTTCAGTTTCCAGGGACTCTGAAAGACTCTGCCAAGTTTACACAACTCACCAAAGTCAAATTTTAAATGACTAGAACCCAGGTTAGAAATAGGGAAGTACCTAAGTGGGAATCAGTTTCTCTTTACACAGACCAAGTCAAACTTCCAACCACCACAGAATGAGAACTGGCAAAATGATGTCCTCATTTGCATGCATAAAACTCACATTTGTTGATTCAAAGTTAACTGCACATCCAGGTTATTTAATTTGCACATAAATGCCTGTTTGTGAACACGAACAGTGCGCTGACAAGTCAGACCGAGTATTTCAAATGCGTATCTTCGCTTCCGTAGTCCCAGACTGAGCAATTGTTTTGAGTATATACAAAATGCTGAGAAAACCTTCAAGTTCACATGCTCTGTCTCTTTAGTTTGAATTACTGTAGCATGTTCAAAAATTAGATTTCTTGACAAAAATCTTGAAACACTTTTTATTAACATTTTAGAATAACCTGAAAATAGACAAGATATGACTATTCATCCATTCAGTGACCAGCACAAGTCTGGCAACAAGACTTAAAGCATTCATGGAAATTTAAGAATTAACGGGGTTTTTTTTAAGTCCTTGGGCCCGATTCTTTATAATCCTTACTTGGCACCTCCCATTTTTCCAATGAATACTTGCCAACATAAGAACCACAGGTATTAGTTTTAATTCTGCTCTTCATAATTCATTTTATTAAACCAATTATGCCAGCATACGAGCAAGGTGAATTTATGCAAACTGCTCCTTCATACCTCAAATGCACATACAAGAGGCAAGTATTCTTCATAGCCCCAAACATTACTGAAACAAAAACTGTAAAAATCTCTGTAAGTAGTGGATGAAGGTGGAAAGCTACAGTATTTTGTTGCCCAGAATGTATTCAACGGTAAGGCTGCAAGAGACAATAATTCATGGTCAATACAGGCTTTTCACAAAGCACTTAATTCACAGTTACAAAAATTCTTAATTAAAAACAAAATCATCCTTATAATTTGTTCCTCACTCCCTATGTGCCCTAGCAGCAATCTCTCTAGACTACAGAGACCAGAATATTTTCTCTTTCAGAAATTATTACAAGGCTTCCCCCCCCCCTTCTTTGCCTTTTAGAGAAGCCTTTCCAAGTAGTGGAAGACCACCGTACTGTGATGCTTAGACACACTCCAGCTTGATATAATTTCACTGTTCTGGTATATTTAGTTAGGCATTTAAGAAGCTGGCTATTATTCCAGTGACTACAGAAGTAAGACAGATGTGCTGAAATTCCTTACCTGCACTAGTAGGTGTTACGCTACTGAATTTCCATACTTAAAAGTGTAACATTTTAGAGTAATTCCAAGACCAAAATCAAATACTCACATGGGGACCACCAGGCATTGATGGAGCACCAGCAGGACCAGATGGCACTTGAAAAGGATTAGGGGGCGTAGGATATAGTCCTGGAGCTGGATATGATCCTGTGGGTGGAGGAAATGGACCTGGTGGTGAAGGTCCCCATGTTCCAGGTGGAACTGTACCCCATGGTACTGTTGGCGCAGCCCCTGGAGTCTGGGTAGGAGCGGAATATGGCCCTGGGGGTGGATATGGCATGCTAGGTGCAGGATACTGCCCTCCCATTGTTGGTCCCCATGCTCCAGAGGGCATGGATCCCCATGGCCCAACAGGAGCAGGAGGTGCAGCTGGCTCTGTTGGACCACCATAAGGTCTTGGAAGCTCTGGAAAGGGCATATTTGGTGGAGGATATTGCCCTGGTGGGACTGGACCTGGCACAGTTGGGGGTGGATATGGACCACCAGGAGGAGGGCAAGAGGGTCCAGTAGGAGGAGGAGGAAATGGAGCAGGCGGTCCAGGGGGCATTGAAGGATACATTCCTGTGGGCGGAGGTCCGAATGGCACACTGGAAGCAGACGTGTTTGGTGGCAGTCCGGTTGGCGCCGTAGGCGGAGCGCTTGGGTTGTTCCAAGGATTTGAAGCTGGCCAAGCCTGTGGTGGCTGACCAGGCTGTTGACCAGGTTTTGTACTGCTCACTTTGCAGGTTTTAGCAGGCGACTGATCTGGTAAAGCATCTGCCAACTAAAAGATAAAGCGTCAGTGAGAATGTAAAATGCCTACTGGACTTGGTAGTTGCAGATATTCACCCGCTACGTGTATATGTTTCAGTTGCCAAAATGGGAGGAGAAGAGTTCTTTGTGGCTGCACAGAGATGATTACATTCATTTTTGCGCAGCTTCTATCATTAAGGTAGAAGAGGCATTCTGACATGCTGCAGTTAGAAAACCAAAGATAAAAGGCAACCTACCACACATAGCAATGAGCAATTTCAGCGCAAATCCAAAAAGATTTTCATAGATTTCCATTATAGCTATTCTGACAGTATTAAAGCGCAACTCCTTTATTAGTATCACAGCAGAAGAGAACCCACAAGGCACCTAACAGCATCATATGTTCAGTCCACAGATTGCTACATCTACCCAAAAGGAAAACACCACAACTGGAATACAGAGGAAATCGCCTCTCAACTGTAAGCTCCCCTTCTTCTTGAAAAAGCACGTCAACTTTTAGAATGAAGTAACACAACTGGCTGATCTTCAGGAAAGAAAAACTGTTACTTACCGAAAAATCATCAGTTCCAGACATTTTGCTGAAAAGTAAGGTAAGATAAAGTGAAATTTGTTGAAAATAATAAAAGTATTTCAAGCAAGAGCTCACGAGACAAACTCTACATTTGTCTCATTCAAACCACAGTAAGTGTTGAACTGGCAGCACTTCTTAGCAGTGGCTTTGTTTTAATGACTCTGACCCATACAGATGGGTGCTACTCAAACACTTTCCTCTTGATAAAGTTCTCACGAGAAGAAAAGTCTTCAGCCTCTACCCATCTCATCTCAGAGAGGACCGACACATAATGTAAATGGGTCACATTACGCTAAGAAAAAATATTTCAAATATTCATAGCAAGTAGGCAGCCTACCCAGACAGTGATGCCTGTGAAGCATTCAAGGTCTTTTCTAAACTGGGACTCAGAAAAGTTATGGCAGGCTGCTTGCAGGTGAAGTTAACACATCTAAACCAAAACATGATTAAATCCCCATGCAGATCTTACTGTCAGAAATAAAAGACCTATAGTTTGCTAATATCCTCCAATTATTTCAGAACATACTAAAGGTAGTGGATGCTATTATTTACATTCACTGACTCTGGCTAGCTAGCCTTAACTGAACGTAGACACGGCCACGGTGTCATTAATGCATACCTAGCTTCTAACCTTTCAACACAAGAAATACTGAAAACAAGGAGCAATGAGTCATGTGTTATCTTTCCATGAAGGCAACTACTGCACGTAAAGCTTTCCTGAGCTTCAGCACAATGAAAACTGGTTGGCTTTGTCAATCTTTAAGAGCCATACGAAAGGGAAGCTGATATATAACCTCAAGTAATATTCAGTTTGACTGACAACAAATACTGACTAGAGGTGAAGAACTCTTGAAAGGATGACCAAGAGCAGGTGGAGTAGGTGGACACGCCCCAGTGCAGCCAGAAAGTTCTAGGGGAGAGCATAGAAGATAAAAAGGAATGAAAGAGGAGAAAAAAAAAAGCAAAATATAAGAGCGCAAATACTACTGCCAAGTGGATCCCTATAAAAAAAAAAAATCCTTGTTTTCCCTTGCTGATGGTGAAGGCCTGACTTCTAACACAGAGACTGGTCTCAGGGACTGAGCTTTGTACAGATAAACCTATTTGCTGGAGGCTATAAGCTCCATTACATTAACAATTACATAATGCACAGATAAACTAGAGTCTTCTCCGAAACTGTATGGTAAGTTTCTTACAATCTACACAATTTCCTAACCTTAAGATAGTACAGGATCAGAACAAGGGGCCGTTTAGCTCAGCATCCCATTTTATCTTCAGCAATGACAGTAGGGAAGAACAACAGGGATGACCCCAATACTTCAATGATTCCAAGCTCAGAGACTTCCTAGGTTGTAGGCAATTTCTATGGAATAACCACCCTCAAACAATTTCTTTTCCACAAACACGTCTAGCTTCCCCGCTTGCACCTACAACATCCATTGGCAAGGATTTGTTACACAAAAAGGCACCTCCTCCTTTGTTCTAAACCTGGATCTTACTAGTTTCAGTTGTTGCTACTTCATTCTTGCAGCTGATGAAGTCTATTCTTATCCACCCTGCCCATGTCGCTCATTATTCTACAGATTTTTACCATTTTCTTTCAGCTGTTCCTTCTCCAGGCTGAGCTCTAGTTTATTTCATTGACCTTTGTGCAGCAGCTATTCCATACCTTTGATTATTCTCACTGCCTCTCTTTGAGGTTGCTCCAATTCTTTTGTAGCTTTTGAGATGAATGACAAGAACGAACCACACAGGATTCAAGATGTGGGATAACCATTGATTTATACAGTTTCGTAATTATGTTCTGGTTTGTCCTCTATTTCCTTCCTAATACTTCTTAATGTTTCATCTGCTTTTTGATCACTACTGAACTGACATTTTTGCAGCAGTATTTCATTCCTCAGTGTTAAGGGTTAGCTCATCATTTTATATATGAAATTATATGCACCGTTCTACATTTATCTACTCTGAATTACATCAGATTTATCGACATTGAATTATATCTGCCATTTATTACCTAATCCTTACTTTCCCAAATAGCTTCATATCGAGACACTGCTCATCTCATTTCCCAAGTTATTTATGACCACATCAAGCAACCCAGCCCCCTGTGGAAACACAGTGAACTTCCTGAGTTACACCTAATAATTTAAATAAACCTTTTAAGAAACACCTAATAATTTAAATAAACCTTTTAAGAAATACACATCCACAAAGTTAGCGCCCTGGTGGAAATCAGTGGCTAATGGCGTGAATCTGAAAGTTCGTTAAAGCTCCAACATCAGCTTTTAACAGCAGTAGTTCCTTCAAGTAACGACAAATACCTGAATCTTTGTATCAGATGAGGTACACTGGTCAGATCAATGACCATTTGTTTCAAGTTGAGAAACCAACTGAACTACATCAAGAAAGCGGTTTCTGCTCCCATCATTAACAGCTCAGCTGTTTGAGACATCTACCAGAAAAACCTTAATTTCTCTTCAGTAGATACCTCTCATGTTAAAAAGAATTTATTAGTTTTTGCAATGAACTATGCTCAACAATAATCAGGAGTCGATATCTGCTTTTTAGTGGCGCTGTAGTTCAGTTTACTTATGCAGACACAGAAGCTATTTAAAATAACCCACAAAATATAGGAAATCAATCATTAATATAGAGTCAAGTACAATAACTTTTTTACATAAGTGAGCATGTACATGTATTCATAACCACCCCAGGTTAGCAAAAACGCGACATCAAAACAGGCCAAGAGAATCCTCCTTTCTCTAGGCAGATAAAAAGATGGGATAAGACCAACTGAAAAACAGATCTACAAGAGACTGAAAAAAGCCCACAGAAGAAGTTACAACATAAGCTGCAACAGAGAGGAGAGAGGAGACAAACCTGAAGTTGTCAGAAGAAAATACCATGATTTGTCACAAAAGTGACAGAGTAGTAAATTCAAGTCCAAGTGGTGGATGAACACAGTGGAAACAGGCCTGCTTACAAAATATCAACACATATCCCCAATATTTGTCAGCAGATAATTTCAAAATATTTCTGTGCCATGAAAATTAAGGCAACAATTCTGCTGCAAGACTTACGAAGAAAAAAAAAAAGCATACTTAAGAGTAGCTTATAATGAGATTTAGTGGCTTTTTTACTTTGGCAAGCAGACTAGAGCAACATTTGTTGGCAACATTTGGCATAACTGAGTCAACGCCAAGCATGTCAAGGATCCTCTTGCAGACAGGATGGCCTACTTCAGGGACATTTCTTAAACATACATTTAATCCAGGCACTGCCACCTTCATTTAATAAAAAAGAAACTGAAATTACCATTAGACACATTCAGACAACATATGAACTGATTTTTACTCAAGTCTAGAGCTTATATTCCATTCCATAAAGCTGTTCAACACTAGTATGAAGAATTTCAATCAAAACCTTACAGAAATATCAATTATATTTCTAAAAGTATTGCCCGAGGCATTCACAAGCTCACAAATTAAGACTGAGAGACACTCTCAGTCAGAAGAGCTCAAAGCAACTCCATTTTAAAGTCCCCACCGATTATGTGTGGGCTCAAGATTTTACAAAAATGTACTGAATGGTGTCTTGACTAGATTTTTAGACTTGGCAGAGTTAACAAATGCACTCTCATTTTCTCTTGAAGCTTTCCTAGAAAAGCACTGCACAAGCACTGATACGAGCAAAGAAAAGCAAATTCATGTCAGAGACGTCCGTTTTGCTACATTTAACTCTACTTCAAATTATTCTCTCCTCGAGTTGGGGGGAAGAAAGAGTGAATGGAAGAAGGAGGGTTCAGGAGTTTAAGTAATTTGACAGGGAGTAGAAAGACTACAGAACTGACGGCATTTTCAAATTGAAGTCCTGCTTGCATCCACTGTGCTGCAAGATAAGATTTCCTTTGTTTTCTGAAGGCCGCCGCCCCTGGAACCATCCCCTGCTTTCCAGAAGCAGGAGCCTGCCAGTTCCAGATCAGCTGGTCAGGGCACCATTTCTCAGCCACCTCTGAAAACACATCTGGCCAGAAGTGCGAATCTAAAGCAAGGGAAAGAGAGATGTGACCAATGTCTGGGGAGAAAAAAAAAAAAAAGGCAGCTAGGAGCAGCATCTTTTTCATCCTTTATCCTGAAGAGCGATGGGAAGGCACGAAGGATTTCCACTGCACCTACCCAGAAGCTATACACAGCAAAATCTTCAGGCCAGAGTCCAAAGCCCCTCAGACACCCACAACCTCCTCCTGAGAATTAACGGCAGGTAGGTGAAGACAAGCAAGCCTGCCAAGCTCCACACGGAAGAAGGTTGAGAAGCAGTTGCGAAAACCCCGTTTCTGGAAGCGTGGCGCTATGTGTGGCACACTAAATCTGTCAGCTTCCACAACAAAACAGCTCCACCATGTTTTTTAAGCTCTAAACTGTGTCTGATCACATCCAGCCCAACTGAAAGTGATGGATGCAGGAACATTTTTTCCCATGCTCTTGCCTTTCCTGGCTTTTATCCAGCACTGGTCCCTAGAGACTCCTGTTAGAAAGAGCTGTCCAAAACACTTTTTCTTTCTTTTTTCTAAAGCTACCCAAAAACGAAGCATCAACTGCTAGTTGGTTTTCTTTTTTCTTTTTGAGTTGTATGACATTTTTTGAACACTTGACGTGCCAGATTTAGTTCCTGTCTCCAAGATCATCTTTCAAACACAGAAAAATGCTTTCTAGATGCAACAGGCTCCGCTGCATTTCCACTGGGTGGCATGGCTCTGTCAGCAAAGAGGTTCTTTTGTCACTGTAACATGACTAATACCTACCAGCATAACCTCATCTACAACAAGATTTCTGCCCACATAAGTAGAACTACCCAACATAGCTATACAGATGAAATGGAAGAGACACCAAATCTTTGACAGCTTCTAAATGTTTTCTAAAATATGCAAATTTCTGCAGCTCCTACCTTCAGGCATTAAGCGTCAACATTTTAGAGCTGGCCTTTCCTTATCTTTAATGCCTTCTCAG